TTAAGTTTTTACATTTTACGTCTATGCATATTGCGTAGAAAGTAGAGTTTTAATCATAAATTGTAAACCTAGGTCTTTTCATGTGTTTATGGTTGCTTTACATGATAATATTTCACCTGTCCTGTTTATGTAACACTTTAAAAATCAGCAAAAGGGTTATATAAATACAATTTATTAGGAAACAAAAGGCAAAAAACTATTATGTACATAGCTTAGTCCTATTCAGTGTCTACTCGGCACTTCTTGGCTTGTCTCTTGTATTCATTAAATGGAGCATCTCTTGTCACTGTCCAGCAATAGTCTGCAAGCATTGATGGGCTCCATTTGCCCTGATAGCGTTTCTCCATTGTTGCAATGTCCTGGTGAAATCGCTCACTGTGCTGGTCGCTCACTGCTCCGCAGTTAGGTGGAAAAAAATCTAGATGAGAGTGCAAAAAATGTATCTTTAGTGACATGTTGCAACCAAGGCTTTTGTATGCCTTGAGGAGGTTTTCCACCAACAACCTGTAGTTGTCTGCCTTGTTGTTTCTGAGAAAATGTATTGCCACTAACTGGAAGGCTTTGCATGCCGTCTTTTCCTTGCCACGCAGTGCATGGTCAAATGCATCATCTCGAAGAAGTTCACGAATCTGAGGACCAACAAAGACACCTTCCTTTATCTTAGCTTCACTTAACCTTGGAAATTTTCCACGGAAGTACTTGAAAGCTGCTTGTGTTTTGTCCATGGCCTTGACAAAGTTTTTCATCAGACCCAGCTTGATGTGTAAGGGTGGTAACAAAATCTTCCTTGATTCAACACGTGGTGGATGCTGAACACTTTTCCTCCCAGGCTCCAATGACTGTCGGAGTAGCCAATCTATCTTGATGTAGTGGGAATCTCTTGCACGACTATCCCATTCGCAGAGAAACCAGCAGTACTTTGTGTATCCAGTCTGCACACCAAGCAAGAGAGCAACAACCTTCAAATCGCCACAAAGCTGCCACTGATATTGGTCATAGTTTATGCACCTCAAAAGTTGTTTCATGTTGTCATAGGTTTCCTTCATATGGACTGCATGACCAACTGGAATTGATGGTAAAACATTGCCATTATGCAGCAAAACATCCATGACTTCTAGGAATAACATGATGCAATTCATATAATGTATGACGCAATATTAGCTTCCGATTGCATCATTCATTGTTTTGCCTAAAAAGCAAGTACTGTCCAAACCCAGTTATAGATTTATTCATAGATCCAGTCAAAGATGTGTATTAGTCATTTCTGGTTTAAATTGAGATCCCTTCCTTTTATAACTCACTTATCCTCCGCCATTCGCAAGTCAAGGGTCATATATACTGACCCAATAGCATATCTTGAAAACTAGAGCCAATCAACAATTTTAAGCATCATTTTCGTTCTCAGTGACCCAGAATTAGTAAAGTTTGACTACATTTATTTCAGAAGTATTTTGGCTGTAGAGCAGTGTTATCTTATAACATGATATATTTAGCATAGTACACCAAAACATTATGCTAATAATTTTTGTTTAGTTTAATAAACATCATAATATTTGTTAATAATAAACATCATTACTTAATGGGATGGATGAGTTTGCATGTGATGGCATATTTCAACAATGTTTGGACTGAGATTTGTTAAAGAAAGTCTTAATGTAGGTGTAACAGTCAACCTATTTCAATATTTGGTCTTGATTGCAGTGATTGCTGAAAATCCACTTTCACAAAGGTACGTTGAAGGAAAAGGAAGTAGGACCCTCAATGCCTTTTCACTTAACAGGTTGTATTCACTGTGGACTTTCATCCAAAATTTTTCAAGTGATGAATTGTTTTTCCAGTTTTCAACGTGACATCTGAGGATAGATCTGCCAACATCTCTTTCATTCACAGATATGGTGTTTTTTTGGCTAGTGAAATTGAATGGATTCAAAACCCACAAAAATTCTTCCCTTGGATCTTGGTTTGCAGGGAAATACTTCTCAGATTGGAGTGACAACATTTTCAAGTGATTAAAAATAATCTGTTTAAGCTGAAAAAATTGTAATCTTCATTCTTCTCTTTTATCTCGTTCATAAACTCCATTAAGGCACTAAACATATCAAAACAGTTGTTTTCAACTTAATGTTTTTCTTTTGCCCTTCAATTTTATTATAGGTGTTAAAAATAATTTTATGTGGTCCCTGAAGAGACAAGTTTAACTCATTCAGAAGCTGGAATATGTCTGCAAGATAGCACAGTTTCATATTTCAATCTGTGTCTTCAAGGTCACAGTTTTTGCTTGATAGAAACATGATTATTTTTTCTTTAAGTTCACATAGTCTCTTTAATATTCGGCCTTTCGATAGACAGTGAATGGCAGCATGCAGTAATAAAGTTCTATGTGTGGATCCCATTTCGTCACATAAGACTGCAAACAGTTATGAATTAAGAGCGCTGGATTTTATGAAATGGACTGTTTTCACAGCTGTTGTTAGCACTTGATTTAATTCGGCACTTATACTTTTACTTGCTAACATTTCTCAATGTATAATGGAATGTGTGCCTTGCATATTTGGCGCTACTTGTTTCATTTTTGCAGCTAACCCTGCATGCCTACCAGCAGGGGCGGATATAGGGGAGGGCGAATGGGGCGGCTGCCCCAGGCCCCGCGCTTCAAAAAGCCCCGCGCATGCGCCGTGGCGCCACCGCGCATGCGCATGGCGTCACTGCCCCTGCGCCGTGGCAAAGGGGGGCCCTGCGAAATTACGCTGCCCTGGGCCCCACAAAACGGTCATCTGCCCCTGCCTACCAGTCATATTAGGCGCACCATCAGTACAAATTCAAACACAGTCTGACATTTTTAAATCAGCACTTAAGAAATAATCTGACAGTGCTGACAATATTTCCCTACCAGTTGTGTGTTTTTTCAGTTCCAGACAGTTCATGAATTCTTCTTTAATTTCTCCTTCATCCCAGTCCACATCCCACGGATAGATAAGCAGCATAACTTTGTCAACAATATCAGTCGACTCATCCGCTTGCAGAGCATACATCTTTGACATTTTTTTTTAAAGTTGTTGATGAATGTCTTCACTCATCATAATTATGCGATTTGAAACGGTATAATTAGAAAGAGGAATTGTTTTTAGTTTTTTGGCAACTTCATCTCTCAAAATTGCACGGCTTGCATCCAGAATGCAAGGCATAATTAAACCTTTCCCCTATGGTGAATTTTTTCTTTCACTTTGCAGCGTGAATTGATATAAAAAATGATGCTTTAAGGGCAGCTTCATTTCCAGTTCCTGTAATTCGAATCAGTTTCTTCTGAGCTTACAACTCACTCTCTTTTCTTTAAAAAAAAAAAAAAAAAAAAAAAAAAATTGATTGGCATAGTCTGATATTGGTGGTGTTTTGTTTCCAAATGCCTTTTAAGTTTTGAAGGAACCGTAGAGTAATTACCCAAAATTTCCAAGTAAATAATGCATTGCGGGTAATCATCTTTATATGTGAATCCAAATGCTAGGTATGCAGGATCATATTTTCGACATACCATTTCCTTCCTTTTGGTTCTGGGGAAGATGTGCTACATTGAGAAGTGGAAATGTTTACTTGTTCTTCACTAGTTGATGGTACTGGTTCCTCAGCAGTACTATTTTTACTCACTTCTGCGTTTTTGATAGGGAAATGTAATTTACTCTGTTTACTCATATTGGTGGAAATTATAAATTCAATACTTTTATCAAGCACGGGTTAATGTCAAGCAGCTGACTGACGGCAGCCATAGCAGCATTAGGGACACTGAGGGCCTTATCCTGCCCCCCAATTCACAGTTGGCCCCTTACTGCTTAATATTTTGTCCTTCAATATTTCTAGCCCCTGGCTCTGTTACTTTGACACAGAATACTGAAGGGAAGGGCCTTGTCTGTTGAAGAGGGTGCAAGATGCTGGCTCCCCTCAGCTGTCCTCGGTAACAAGTGAGAGCTAAAGACAGCGGTGCAAAGACCAAGTTGAGGTGGCAGCTTTAGGGCAGTTCTCTCCCCTGGCAGGCAGGATCCCCAGACCAGCAGCGGAGAAAGCCAATCACAGCTGGCCTTGCTGCTGCCCCTGCCATGAGGGGTGCAAGTGAGGTGCAGAGCTTTCCCAGGCAGTTGCAAGCCAGGCACAGAAGCACGTGTGGAACGTGGGTAGTCCATCTTTCATTTCCAGGCGCATCACCACTTGCTTACCTCTTTGCACCACTCGCTGCATCTCAGCAGCTCTCGCGGGCATTTTTTTTTTCTTCAGACGGTTGCGGCACACCTGTGAGTTCTCCGCAGAACACCAGTGTTCCGCGGAACACAGTTTAAGAAACAAGGTTATAAATTCTTTGAGAGATACACAACATACTTATATTTTAACTCTAAACATTCTTGCAAATGAAACTAATGTGTTTAATTGAAGTTGATATGACTTTCTTTAAAAGCTTTATTTAAAAATGTTTTATATTAATGTTTTTTTCAGTCCCATTTTTTGTTCGGGTTGGGGTTTTTTTGCTATCTTACTCCGTTTTGCTTGTGCAGTAGGATTTTTTTGAGTCCTCTTTGAGCTCTCTTTTTCATGCACTAATTCATAACTCTAATTCTGCAGCACACAGCATCAGTGGAACTTGATTACTAGTTTTAGCATTGGATATTGTTGTGTAGCAAAAAACAAGATTTACTTTTTAAGAAATATTTTTCTTGGTGGTACATGCTTTAAAAATTGTCATGTTTAATAGATCTCAGTGTCCTCTTCATCTCAAAATGGTCAAGTTCCCTTAGGATTAGGATACTTTTATTTTGTAGGTGGCCTGGAGCTACAGATAATTAGGTATTGCTAAATTGAAATCCTCTTTCTGATCTTTTTACATGACATGTGTAAGTAAAATTCTTAATAGATTTGTAAATAACTATTTGCCGTGTTCATTTTGAAGTTTGTTCTACAATTTAACACAAAATGGGTAGCAGTAATCTATATCTAAAAAAGATATTTAAATTTTATAGGCAAAATCAAGCATAAGATGTTTCATAAAACCTACAGAGACACTAGAGAGATCTCTTGAAATTAACAAGCAGAAGGGAAAGAAGAGGTTGCAAAAGAGACCAAACTATAAAAATGTTGGCGAAGAGGAGGAAGAGGAGAGAGGACCAGAGGATACTCAAGAAGACCCAGAAAAGGGGAAATGTACAGAGGGTAGTTCAAAAGGCATCAAGGCAAGTGCAGAAAATGAAGGTGAGTCTACAATGACTGAAAGCCATGCAAACTTTATATATGCTAATAGTTAAATAATATCACTTGTTTATGGTTAAGTGTCTGTTTTTGTTAATTTATAATACTGGTTGCTTAACTGAATAAACAGAATCATTAGTTTTTCCACTTCCCCTGATTCCACTTTCACTAATATTTTTAACCTCTCCTTTATGTAGAATTAAATTCTTTAGAAAAACCGTGTTTAACTTGGTGAAAAATGTGTGAAGTGTCTGCCATTTCTCCTGTGCCATCCAGCCTTTAATCACAAGAACAGCTTTTAACTAGCTGTATATAATTAAACATTGTTATTAGTAGACTTAATAACAAGTCTGCTTCATTTGTTAGCGGAGAAGCGAAAGGCGTTAAAGTCATCTCCTCCCCCCCAAAAAGCCAAACATCCTGTGTTGACTGGTAATGAGTAAACCATTTTCTGTCAGTCATTGCCACATCTCACCTGTGCCTATTGTTCAAAATTCAAGAAAAACATCCCTCTGTTTTTTTATTTAATTACCTGATTTATGTGCATTCTGAGTGCTTCATGGGACTATCATGCTTGAATCATTAAAGTGTTGGGTGCTGCACCAGAAAACATGCTCTTCATTTGCTTTCACTATTTTAAGTTCATAATTAAGAGGAAACGCATATAAAAAGTAGAGTTTTTATGCATAAAATAAGACAATGATGACAGTTTCTAAGGAAGCATATACCAAGGTAAAAATTTTTTCCCTATGCTACAATTTCTTTGGCAACCCTTTTCATATAATGCTTGCATTTTGATGTGTATAACTAATCTTTCTGAAAAGAATTTCTTCTTTGAGCGACGTCCCTGGGGGTGCTCCACATTAGGTGCTGAGTGACCCAGCACCTCTCGATGGATTTTTCTCTAGCTGTACATTGGGGGTTGGACATGCACCTTGCACAGTGTGATTGGGCCTTCCCTGGTGCCATCGTGCATTCACGGCCCTCCCTCCCTTTAGTTCCTTTCTATCGTCCCTGGCTTCAGATGGAACTCTTCAATGCTTTCCTTCTCAAAATGTTACTGTTATAGCTAGCTTAGTTTTAGGTTCTTAGTGTTTGCTTAGTGTTACTAATAGTTTAAAAAAAAAAAAAAACTTGGATCGCAGACAGCTTGTGGCGTGGGATCACCCGGTTTCAAATGCTGCGCACTCTGCAATGAGGCAATACCAGCCACAGATAGACACGAAAACTATGTCAAGTGCCTTGGCCACTTGCACTCTCAAAAAGACTGCCCACATAACACTAAGCTTAAAGCGTGGACACTCAAGGATAGAGAACTCAGGCTCAAAATGCTTATGGCTGACAAGGATGAACACCCTTCTTCTGACCCTGGCTCGGGACAGAGTAATGCGGCAAAAAGGGATAAATCCCCGAAAGCCACAAAGGGATGGGCAAACTCCCTGCCTCAGCATTCGCCTAAGAGGCACTCTGCTGGCAAACAATCGGATTCCTCCGATAAACGCCTCAGCACTTTTGACCACCCAGATACCTCGGGTGAACAGCTCATCAAGCATAAAAGAGCTTTAAAAACTACCCCCTCAGAGGCAACAGGCCACACCGTGCCTGCCCTGAACAATGTGGCACCAAGCAGGGCGCCGCTTGCTTCAGCACCAGCTCCAGCAACTCCTCAGGAGTGCAGCACGGCACTGCAGCCGCTCAGAAGGCAGCCACTCGGCACCGTCCCTCCCCCCTCGTTGTCAGGGGCAACCCCTCATGCTGCGAGCTCTGTCCTTATGGAATCCCAGATAGTGTACTCAGTGACAGCACAGTTCTCCACACCACACAGTCCCATCATGAATTACAGGGAGTACAAAGACTTAGCAATTTCTTCTACACTCCAGTCTCCTATTTGGAGTGACACTATATATCCTCACTCTCCTTTTTCTGATTATACAGAATCACCTTCCTCCCTCTCAGTGGAAGAGAGAGATGACTTAACTGTGTTTTCACCACAGCTATCTCCACACAAACAAGGGT